CGCACGGGGCAAAACAGACGGCGCAGGGCTCTTGCGTCGGGCATGTCGGCGAGACGTTTCTGAGCGTGACCAGAAACCGATCCGGGTCGGCCAACAAAGGACCGAGCGCTTGGTACGAAGTGTTGCAGCAAGCGGCGCAAGCGCTGCCCAAGCTCTTTTCCGTGCCCAGGTTTCGGCGCGGAGGGCCTCGGCCCGGAGAGAGAGACTACTTGAGGACCGACAAGCTCTGGGTAGGCTGCAAGGTCCGGCTGATTTGGCACATGGATCAGAACGGAATACAGCCTGTGCGCAGCAGAGCGAACTTGACCAGGTTCGGGGTCGCTTCGTCATCGGACGATTTTCGTTTCGCGGAGAAAGGGGCCAAGGACCGGTCGACGATCGAAGACGCCGAAGGGATCGTGTGCGGCGTGACGTTTAAACGAGAGGCTCAAGCGTATGAGTTTCACGTGAAAGGAGACCGCACGGGACGCTTGTACAAAGTCGGTCTCTCTCAGTGGTACTGCGCGAATTGGACCGTTACCGCGCACCCGCTGGCTTGCATGTTGGCGATGAACACGTACGACTGCCAAGGCTGCACGATCGCGGGGGATGTGATCTACTATCCCCCGCGGCATTTCTCGATGTCGCCGATTAAGCCGTCGGTGTACGTGGCGCTCAGCCGGGTCACTTCTAGGGACAGGATACAGATGACAAACTGTAACTTTGCGGAGAACGTGGGCGCTGTACGCTTCTACGACGAGAGACTGGTGGCGTTTCGGAAACGTGTTGAGATGGGTTACGGCGACGGAGGAATTGAACCATCGTGATCTTACCTTCATTGCATTTGTATGTGTTGTGTATGTTTGAAGAGACAATAAAAATATATGAGAACCATATTATATCATTGTCGGTTTTTATTCCACGGATAAGAAACATGCAACACATATCGACATCACGTTGGTAAAGCTAGTTGTTTACATGACAAAACATCCAACACAAGACACATAGCACATTAGGTAAGCTACGCTAATCATCATCATCATCATCATCATCATCATCATCATCATCATCATCATCATCATCATCATCATCATCATCATCATCAGGACGTGAGACCAACGTTCCGATCGTGCTCATATGTTTCACGATCCCATCCAGCGTAGGGTAGGTCACGCGATCGCCCCGATTGTAGATATCGTCGATACGGAATCCGATCCCGTTGAATATCACTCTGTACACGCGTCCCTTTGCGTTGATGAAGTCGAAAAGGTGTCCCTCGTCGTAGTCGCACATATGACAAACCGCTGCCGTGGCAGGGGGATCTTGAGTCGGGATTCTTTGCAGAATACCAAACAGCGTGTACTCATTTCGCTTTTGATTTTCCAGTTTTTCGCTCGTGAGTCCCCACCACGCACCGCCTAATAACTCCGTGGCGTTATGCATCTCCTGAACTATGCGGCTCGCAATCCCGGGGGGGGTTGCCGACGAGATATTGACTGGTTTACCGATCAGGCGCCCGTTTTCGATGTCGTCTAACATATACCGTATCAACGTTTTTGGAATCCCACGACAACCTAGATCGGAGAAGATGTCACTAGCGCCAACGAGTTCATAATAGCCACCCGAGAGCACCAGATTGCCTTTTTCTATGCCACGGCTGGTTTTAGTCGCGACCGAACATAAATGCCCTACCGCGGCGCCGCGGTATTCCGAGATAATCACCGCTCCCTCCTGTACATCGTCTTGACTCAAATACGCATTTACTTGTTCATCCGATACGGCTCCCCAGAAGGTATCGCCGGTATCACGGAGCCATGTCAAGAACGAAGACCATGTCGTCTCTAAACGGTGCCAGTTGCCGTACTCTTTTATCTCTTTGACGCAGAGTTTCTTTTTCGGCACCGCGGGAGATTCGTACTCCATCAGCGCGCTGAACTGTTTCTTCGTAGCCATGGTCTCAGATCGCAAAAGACACAGACACGGATGTAATGGTTAACGTTGTTTTTTCGTTAATATCACAGTACTTAATATCACAGTACAAGACTCAATAAGACTCAATACAAGCCAATGGTTAGACTCAGAGTGATTTATCTCATTTATTTGGTAATACACGAAACAGTCATCATCATCAGCATCATCATCATCATCATCATCATCATCATCATCATCATCAAACTCGTCGTCGCTGTCGAAGTCGGGCAGCTCGACAAACGTCCAGATGTCCTTCATGTGGCTCACCAGTTCTTCGAGCGTGGAATAAGTCACTTTTTTCTTATGGTGCCTGAACCCGGACCGGTCGAACGTCACCATGTATACTTTTTCGTTGGAGGTAACAAAGTCGAACAGGTGACCCGCGTCGCGTGGCGAGTGGCACACCGCAGCCATGGGGTTTCGTTCCGATGACTTTTTCAAAATATCAAACACCTTGTACCTTTTGGCGAAAGGAGCCGAACGCGTGATTCTCCACGAGCCTCCCAGCGACTCGATCGCGGCGCGCATCTCCCGCACCAGGCGCTCAGCCGTGCCGATAGATCCCCGGGGTACAAAGCCGAAAGGTTTGGGGACTAAGTGGCCCCTTTCAATGTTTTCATCGTTTGCGATTTTGGCTTCGAATTCTTGTAACAGCCTATTCGGCCAGTTGAGCCCTAGTACAAAGTCGGTACACCGGTAGGAGCCGTACACGAGCTGCAGGCCGCACCTCACTATTCCGCGAGACGTCTTCGCGGCGAAGGAGCACAGCCCGCCCGGCTCTTTTCCGTAGTACTGCGAGACCACCACGTCTCCGAAGCGGGCGTCGGGCCCGTTCAGGAACGCGTCGACCTGCTCGTCCGAAGCGTTACCCCAGAAGCGATCGCCTAGCTTTAGAAGAAATGGTTCCCATTGTTCTAGGGCGTACCAGTTCCCGTACTCTGAAGGGTCGCCACGATGACGATGCCTTTTCGCCGCGACGGCAGGCTCGGCCGGACTCTCGTACTCCATAAGCGAGCTGAACTGTTTCTTCGTGGCCATGGTTCTATACGCAAAATGCCGTTACATCGAACATATACTGTTAATACGTAAGCGAGGGAATGAATATGACAAAGGAGGAAAAAAAGAAAATAGATCATCGTCTTTTAACAATGTTTTTATTTTAGGTTACACATAAACGACACAGAAAACATTTAAAACATTTTTTTACTCGTCGTCGAAGTCGGGTAGCGTGGCAAACGTTTCGATGGTCTCATCAGATCTTCGAGCGTGCATTTGAGCTTGATGAACTTGGATCAGCGACAGCGGTATCATCTTATGCCATTATTATAGCACGGAGACGTTCCAAGTCCACGCCTCGCAGCAGCACTCACTTCAGGCACCTCACCACGAGGCGTCATCATCATCTTGACCTAAATCATCGTCGCTATCGAAATCGGGTAGCGCGACAAACGTCCCTACGGTCTCCATGTGACGAACCATATCTTCGAGCGTCGAATACGTCTCCTCCTCCCCTTCGCGGAACTTGAAGCCAGAACAGTCTAATATCACGCGGTAAACCTTTTCTTGGGTGGTGACGAAGTCAAACAAGTGCCCCGGATCATCTTCCTTCACGTGACACATCGCGACCATGGGTTTTCGCTCTGTCGCGGTCCCCAAGTTCTCCAATATACCAAACACCTTATACCCCCACCTAG